TCGATTCGATTTGAAAAAATCAAATCAAATTCAAATTGCTTAAATATTTGATTCGATTTGATTTTGAGGAACCCTACTGTAAGCTACCAATAAAAATGATCATTTGAATATCTTATCTATTATTATAATTTGTAAGAAAACATATTAACAATATTAATTATATGACAAATGATATATAGGATTAGAAAAATCCTAAAAAGTTCTAATTGGTCCTAATTAATTTTAAAAAAATTATTAGTTTTAAAGATTTTTTATTTTTTAAATATTATCATTATAATTAATTTTTAATTAAAGTTACTTATTATAATAAGTTTAAATTCCTTTTTAAAATTTAAAATATCTTTAAAATATTAGATTTAGAATCTAAGACTAGGTTCTAATTAAGTATATTTAATTTTTAAAGAATTTTTTTATTTTAAATTAATAAAAAAATTTATTTATAATTATATTAAAAAGATAAATTTATTATTAAAAAATTTAATTAATATAAATAAAATTATCTTTAAATTTATTAAAATCAATTAGGATTTCTTAAAACTTTACTAATCCTTAATGATTAAAGATGATAATAAATCCTATAAGTCTGTTTTAATCTTTATATCATTAGTCTTATACAAAGAAGACTGGATTGCAATTCTCACAAATATTATTAAAAAGGATACAATTTTCAAAAAAAGAAATTTTTACCTATTAAAAAATTGGAAAAAGTTACAAAAATTCCAAAAAGGAAAATTTGTGTAATATATATAGAACTGATACATTTATTATTTTTACTAATGATATAAATGAAAATTAGGATTTTCATAACATAAAAAATTTCAAAGTCTCTAGAATACTTAGTAAAAATAAAAGTGTGATATGATATTCTGACCTAAAAAAATTTTTTGGCTGGCCATTAGCCAAATTTTATAATGCCAGAAAATTTTGGCTAACTTGGAAAATTTTCACCTTATTTGTCACATGGCATGGTTAATGTCGGCCAAGTTCTATAATTCCGGTCAAAAATAAGTGGGGGGAAATTTTGGTGATACGGGGTAAAATATATGAACGCGTAAACGCGTTTTTACTTTAGAAACTTTGATTTCGATTTTTCATTCCTTTTTCAACAAATATTACAAACACCATAAACATATTACTTTTTTTTTGATTTATCTTTTAATTATGAGCAACGACATAATACACGATTATTTCAAACGAAAGGCAACGGAATGGAGCATTTGTGAGTTCTTGGACGAATGTGATGAGAAAAATTTCAAACGAAAACTTGACGTATATACCCAATCCCTAGAAAATATCATCAAAAGGGATAAGAAGCATGACAAAGCCCGGCTTTTGCTAGACAGATATAAAAGGCAAATACAAATAGTTTGGTGTAAATTTTTAGTGGCGTGTGGGATGGTTAACCAATGAAGTTACTCAAACTTTTCCTAATTTTACAATTTTTTCTCTTAGGGAGAAAAACCCGATAAAAAAGAAGCAAGAAAATGGAAGGATAAACAATCCAAAGAAGTTGGCGGAACTTCAATAAACATTTACCAACCCAATTTTTTGGGTAATACCATTAATGGAACTTGCAATTATGGAACTTTCGATAATCATTTATCGAAAAAATCAAAGAAAAGGAAAAAAGAACAAGAGGAGGAAGAAATGAACAAAGAGGTAGTTCTTAAATCACGATTGGCTATGTAACTTCTTATTTATTATTTTTCCTCATCACTCAGAAAGACGATTTAGCCATTCTTTATGATAAATTGATATCGGGAATTAATACCGCAAGAGAAAACAAAATGAATTGTTTGACGTTGTTTTGTATCAATTAGTCTTTTTATATCTTTTGAGCCCCTCACTAACTTGTTACATGTTGAATATAGCCCACTATGCTGGGGCATTGTTGACCTTAGAGCGGAGAATATTTCTCCGTGTCCAAACCATCCTCGTGCGAAAGAATTCTTATCAGATACAGAAGTTGGAAGACTTCACCAATTAGCTAAAAAAATTGTAAATGAGGAATCCCGGTTGAACCCATCCGCTATGGCACTGATAGAGGCGCTTCAATATGGAACGTTCAGCCTCAAAAAACTAAGCAAAAAAAAGAGGGCTCGAGGGATTCTGGGCATTTGCTCATTATTAAAAATCAAGTCCAATGTGGACATATATGATAAAGACACCCAACATGTTGGGGAATGTATGGATTCTTTGTAATCATAATTCTTAATAATACTTGTCAGCACTCTGATTCACTGATACTTGAACGATATCATTATAGCGATAGTTGGGTGCGAATTTACGGTGGTTCATCGCATATCGAAAGGACAGTTGATATGCATCTTGTTGGTCCATTTTCGAAGGTTCCTGGTGTAAAATTTATATAGTAAGAATCTGTTTCTTGTTAATTCTGTTCTGTTCTATCAAGTTAATTAACACCTCTTGCTTTATAGTGGAGAGAGTCATTCAGATGCAGATAGAAATGAAAAGTCTTCCAGATGTCAATCAGATCAACCTGGAAAGGCGTGTGATTTTATTTTTTTGGTAAGCTTTGCTGGGTTTGATATTTGGAATAAACGTAATATAAGCTGATAGTAATAATTTGTAGGAGAATGGGCACGAGATCGGCATTGGTGAAAACACTGGGCCTACGCATAAGGATCACTATAAAAAAAGCGTCACCGATTTTGTAGATGTTATCAAAGTGGCACGAGCACAACATATCAGTTTCCAAACCAAGTGTATAGAAGAAAGTGGATGTAGTCCCCTCCCATCAAATATCCAAAATGCATTGATACTTGTATCAATTCCCTTCTTCCATGTGATCGGAATGAAAATCCGATTTTACATTTTAATACAGATCAATGGAGACTTGTATGTTATGTGGGAATGGTCTTCTCAAGACTTACCAAAAAAGGAAGGAGACATTATTGCTGCGGTGGCTTTAAGTAAAAAATTTTTGATTCATCGAGTAAGCGTTTTTCTATATATATATATATTTATTTATTTATATTTATTGGGGTTTCTTTATTACTGACCGTGGTACTTTATAAAATCAACATTATCAATTTATTTTGAAGTTTATGACGTAAACGAACTCATCCTCTTATTCATAACAATATAACCTTTTTATAATCATTATATAATTTGATTATCATACAAATTTTTATTATTTTTATTTAATCGCGATATGTGAACGCGTTTTTTTCACGCTCTAAAACTTTGATATTCCTTTATTCAACAAATATAAATAAAATAAACATAATAATATTTATTGTATTTTTTTTTTTTTTTAAGTTAAGTGCGACGACAACACAATACACAAATATTTCAAACGAAAGGCTACGTATTCGAACAATCGGGGGTTCTTGGGCGAAAAAAAAAAAATAAAGCCCGGCTTTTGCTAGATAGATATAAAAAGGCAAGTACTGGTAGTTTTAATGTAAATTTTTAGTGGCGTGGTAGGGCTCTGCGGGACTCCTATCATTCAAATCTGTGAGATGAGCCACAAAGCAAGTGTGGGGCACAGAGCAAATTGCGGGTTTCTCTGTGTTAAATCTGTGGGATGATCACACTGGCACCACCGGTGCGCCAAATTTAACTGTGGGTTACATTTGGTGTTAAGTCTGCGGGACAACCCGGTGGAAAAGGAAAAGGTATTTGTTAAGTATTCCTAATTTTCCAAATATTTTCTCTTAGGGATAAAAACCTGATAACAAAGAAGCAAGAAAATGGAAAGAATCCAAAGAAGTTGGCAGAACTTTAATTAAAAAAGATCAGGAAGAGAAGCAAACATTACCTTCTTGACCCTTTATGATTCTACTTTCTTGACTCACCATGACGATCATATATATTTTGTAGTTATCTTATCGATATTATGGGTCAAGAAAGTATGTCGTACAGGATCAAGAAGGTAATTTTTGCAGAAGAGGAAGACTTACAAAAAGGTAGTTCTTAGATCACGATTGATTATGTAACTTCTTAGCTTCTTATAATTCTTTTCCTCATTACTCAGAAAATGACTCAAGAGAAATTAACACAAGATCAGCATTGTGAAAACGTTATTTTTTAATCCAGATCAATGGAGACTTGTATGATATGTGGGAATATTTATCTAAAGACTACCAAAAAGGAAGATATTATGTAAAAATATTTGGCTCATTCGAGTACTTTCTCTCTATATATATTTTACTGGATTTCTTTATTACTGACTGAGGTACTTTTTTTATAGAATCCTCTCAATCGAACTAGCTGTCTAAGTCAAATTACTATTAAAAATTCACAAATTTTTAGAGATAATGTTAAGAACATGCAATTTGTTCAAAATGTCAAGAGAACTGTCAAACTTAGCTCCATAATGACTCAAAAAGCAAAAAAAAAGGTATTTATCATTAATTTTCTTGAACTTTTTCATTTAATTATATTTAATCATGTATGATTTTTCATTTTCCTTGCAGTTGAAATACTGAGAACTGATAATTTCAACAAATTTGATATGGCTTTAAGCTATCTTAAAAAGTTCAGCTTATAATATTTTTTTTCTCTTAATGGAGAACATTTTTCACTTTCGGCAGATTCTAAATATATATTTTTTGTATTTCTTACAATAGAGATCCTTTTTGAAGTCGCTATTGAATAAAAAAAATTTCACTTTTATTAAATATCAAAAGCTAAATTTTAATTATTTCCTTAAAAGTAGTTATGATCCATTTATATTATCACATTTTATGAACATTTCTATTTCTACTGTTTTTTATATTATCTAATTTTTTTTGATTGATTGAATAGAATATCTGTTTTTGAATAATTTCTGAACATTAATTTATATATCATTTCTATTTTAAGATTATAGCCAATTAAATTGAAATAACTTGAAATAATTTATATAACACAAATTTCTAAATAAAAATAATAAAAATTTGTATGATAATCAAATTATATAATGATTATAAAAAGGTTATATTATTATGAATAAGAGGACGAGTTCGTTTACGTCATAAACTTCAAAATAAATTGATAACGTATCCTTATGTTGATTTTATTATAAATTTATTTAAACTTCAAAAATTTAAAACGTTGCTTCAACATTTAATATAAAAACAGAATTTTTTATATTCAATAGTGACCTTTTAAAAGTAAGGACATTCATGTAAGAATTACAAAATCATTATTTAGCAAAATAGTGACAAGTGCATATCACCAAACTTTTTAAGATTACATCACGTGAGTTGAAATTATCAGTTCACAGTGGTTATTTCGACTGCAAGAAAAATCATACATGACATAATTAAATATAATTAAATGAAAAAGCAAAAAAAAAAATCGAGATATAATTAATGATAATTACCCTCTTTTTGCTTGTTAAGTTTGACGGTTCTCTCTAAAAATTTGTAGATTTCTTCTAATAATCGTTTGACTTAGAAAGCTAGTTCTATTGAGAAGATTCTATATAAAAAAAAGTACCTTGGTCAGTAATAAAGAAACCCAGTAAAATATATATATAAAGAGAGAGAGAGAAACGCTTACTCAAATGAGCCAAATATTTTTACATAATGTCTTTCCTTTTTGGTAGTCTTTGAATAAACATTCCTACATATCATACAAGTTTGGATTAAAAAATAATGTTTTCACAATGCCGATCTTACGCAAATTTCCCTTGAGTCATTTTTCTGAGTGATGAGGAAAAGAATTATAAGAAGCTAAGAAGTTACATAATCAATCGTGATCTAAGAATTACCTTTTTGTAAGTCTTCCTCTTCCACAAAAATTACCTTCTTGATCCTGTACGATATACTTTCTTGATCCATAATGTTAATAAGATAACTACAAAATATATATGATCGTCATGGTAGGTCAAAAAAGTAGCATCATGAAGAGTCAAGAATATAACTTTTGCTCCTCTTCCTGATCTTTTTTAATTAAAGTTCTGCCAACTTCTTTGGATTCTTTCTATTTTCTTCTTCTTTGTTATCAGGTTTTTATCACTAAGAGAAAATATTTTGAAAATTAGGAATACTTAATAAATACCTTTACCTTTTCTACCGGGTTATCCCACAGACTTAACACTAAATGTAACCCGCAGTTAAATTTGACGTACCAGTGGTGCCAGTGTGATCATCCCACAGATTTAACACAGAGAAACCCACAATTTGCTCTGTGTTTTACACTTACTTTGTGGCTTATCTCGCAGATTTGAATGATAGAAGTCCCACAGACCTCTACTACACCACTAAAAATTTACATTAAAACTACTAGTACTTACCTTTTTATATCTATTTAGCAAAAGCTGGACTTTATTTTTTTTTTCGCCCAAGAACCCCTGATTGTTCGAATACGTAGCCTTTCATTTGAAATATTTGTGTATTGTGTAATCATCACACTTAACTTAAAAAAAAATACAATAAATATTATTATGTTTATTTTATTTATATTTGTTGAATAAATAAATATTAAAGTTTTAGAGCATGAAAAAAAACGTGTTCACATATCACGATTTTCCCAATATTCAATTTTCTAGCGATCTTATTTAATTTGATTGGTCTGAAATTGATTGTCATAAAATTTACCAAAAAAAGATAGGCTAATTTTTTACTCATTAGAAGGACTTTCACGTGATTAGCCAATCAATTTCAATTGAATTTATATGTTTTAAAGTACTTTTCGAGATTTAGATAATCTACTTAATAAAATAAGTTAAAATTTTATTTTCAGTTCTGAAATAACTTTAAATCTCTTTATACAAAAGAATCAAAAATCTGGAGAACTTTACTTAGAAGACAAAATATACCTATCACAGAATCATTATATGCTAAAGATGGTTGACTAATTGGAGAAAGATAACTGAGTTTGTTATTACCAAAAGTTAAACTAACCATACTTTGTTCATTTAGGTGATACAATATGCTTGAACTGTTATAATAGAATTATAACAAGAAGTTTAGTTGAATTTTGACAACATTTTTAAGCAAGTATAGCGCACATTTTAAAACAATCTTAACCTTTGCCTTAACCTCTGCCTTCACCTCAAGCTCTACCTCAAACTTAGCCACTGCTACCCTTACTTTCTATTTTATCTTTTTTCAAAGCAATAAAAAATTAACTGATATTTTATATAATTATGAAAATAGGAAAA